AATGTACACTTTTTTATGGAACTTACATATGGGGTATTGAGAAAGTATGTACACTAGGGTGGTCCTTAAAAATAATAATAATTTTTGCGTACAAAATGAAGGGTTTGAAAAAATTTATTTTTTTTTTTAAATCGTAAAAAAATTCTACAAAATTTTTAATTAAAGTATTATAAATTTTACACATTTTTGAAGTTTACTCATATAAATTCATGCATCGATAAATGTAGCTGCTCAAAATCCAACTTTTGCCGTATTTTCGCGATTTAAACAAATATTTTAATTTTTTTTTTTAACTTAAAACTTTTCATAATGTCTTTAGTTTTTACGCAGAACAAAATAAAAGGATGTCCCGTGATGTTATTTTTAAGGACCACCCTAATATACATACATACATACATACTACATGGAAGATTACAAGTCAACGGAATAAAAAAAACTTTCTTAGAAATCAATTTTTGATCGCAATCGTAATTCGGTTAGCATGGAATATTCAACATGTTTTTTCCCCCAAATTTTTTTTTTCTTGGAATTCCCTGCGCGAAATTTTTGCACCGATTTTTACATAATCGCTAGTTTTGTAGGTTTTCCAACATTCTTCATCCTCTCCTCATATGAAAGTATATTTAATTTGAGCAACAAGTAATATGCGCATTACATATGTACATATGTATAAATACATACATACATACAATGAATTAAGTTCAACCTTCAACTTTTCTCAGTGTACAGTGCAATGCACGCTGTTGTATAAACAAAAGCGCGAACGAATGCTTAATCAGAAACGCATCATTGCAAGCGGAATTCTTAATCTGGCATTAATACAATTTTCAACGAGATACCGAGGCGATACGAGCCGTTGCAAATGCGGTGAAGAAGGTGCCTCAACAAGCCTATTTACACACACACACACACAGAGATTCAACACACAACACAAAACAACAAAACGATGCCATAACCAACACGAGACCAGCCAAACGCAAGCTGGCAGAAACACAGTCGGAGAGAGGGGCAGAGGGCAGGGTTTGAGGCTGAGCTTGCAAAGTGCAGTCCAAATAAGCGGCGAATGCTTAATCAGAAGTAAGGGACAAACGGCAGTTGGTGGAGGTGGAGTAGAGATGAGGTGAATGGAAAAGTGCGGTTATGATGAGGGTGGGGAGAGGAGGGCGACTTGAATGTTCCATTGCAGACAGTAGTGTACAATGCGGACAACAAATGCAAGCGCTACAAATATGCAAAACAACAACAACAACAACAAAATAAATAAATAAAATAAACTAGAATACATGGAAAATATGTACCAGATGCACCGCCGTCGATGGCTGCATTTGAAATGTGTTGAATGTGTTGTTGTCATTGCTGTCGCTTTTTTGTGTCTACTGGTGCTCGCTTTATTGCTATTTTGCTATGTTCTCGCTTTGGGCTGTTGTTGTTATTTGTTGTTGTTGTTGTTATTTGTGTTTGTGTTTATGTCGCTGCTGTTGATATGATGTTTGACCCATATTGGAATTTGTCTGTCGGTTTTGCTTACCCCACAGCAGCACACTCCCCCTCTCGCTTTCCACGCCTTTCGGCAGCCACAGTTTGCATTCGCCAAAATGGGCTGAGCCAAACGAACGGATGTATAATGTTGCGCCGAATAGGTGCTTTTGCTGGTGCTGTTATTGTAATGGGGTGGTTTGGGGGGTAAAGGTGCTTTGAATTACAATGAATTACCTTTTTCTATATCAACAGCAGAATAGTACCAACCAATTGTTTGGGTAAGGGCAGTAAGCGTTGAAGAGCGCCAAAAGCCGCCAGCTTAGTGACAATATTTTAGCCGGTAACCGTGTGGTCGCAAGGTGCTTGAACTCAATGGATATGAGTATGAATATGAATATGAATATGAAAAAAAGTGTGCTGGTTAGCGGTTTACTTTTGTGTCATAAAGGGCTGAGCTGTGTGTGTATTTTTAGACACGGACGTCGCAGATGTTTTAGCTGCAGCAGAGCAATGGCATTACATCCTCAAAAAAGAAAAAAAAAGAGTTAGATTTCAAATATTTGTATTCAAACCGTGTGCGGAATTGCTGAGAATGAACTTTTCAAATCTATTCATACTACAATGGCCATTTTCATTTTTCAGAAGATGGAAGATAAAAACTAGTTACGAAGAGAATAAAAATCGTCAAAATTTACTGAGGCATTAATGCATTCCGCTCATAGTTAGGATTTTTTACCATGAAAGGGGTAGGTGAGCAATTCTACAAATTATCTAACAGGGCGATTCTGGCTAATGGTGATTTCGTTTCTACCAAGGCACATTAAACAGGTAGTATCAGTAGAGCAAAAACAACATTTGCGTGTATTTTGTTGTTGCTTCTGGTATCGAAAGTGTCAACAACTGTTCTGAATTTTTTCTTCTAAATCAAAGCGTGCCATGTGAAATACAAAAATAATAAAAAAATGAAATTGGAAAAAATAAAAATTGTTGCAACTTTCTTTCCTAGTAAATTTGTTTGCTTCTCGAAGCATTGATCCATCCTTTACAAGGGCCAGTAATCAGCGGTTGTGGTGCTGAGTTGGGCGAACGTTCCAAAAGCTGCTATTCACTCGCTTGTTTTGTATGGAAAAAGGTTTCACATGCAAATGGATTTTAACAATTCAGAATTTTTGTGAGAAAAAATTAAAAATATTTGACATTTTCGAGACCAAATAATTTGAAAATAAATCAAATCAGCTGCTCTACTGATACTACCTGTTCAATGTACCTTGGTTTCTACCAAAAAATGTTGCTTTTTGATTGTCTCCCTTTCTTTTTTCGTGTTCGATTCTAAATTAAAGGCAAAGAGTGTTTGTATTCGTTTCTTAAAATGTCACACTCTTGTAAGGCAAAAAAAGGCACATTCTCTGCCCTTTGAAACTTTGTCAGGGGAGATGGTTACCCTGAAAATCTGTTGGTTGCTTAAAACGACAATATTATGAAATGCCTGTTCATTGGATCATGAAGAAATTAACGATAATCTTAAATTTTTATATGAGAATTGAAGTCGGTTTTGTTTTTTGATTAAAAAGTGCTTGTTTAATTGAGTTTTTAGAAACTTTATATTTTTTTTCTTTTTACAAGTTTTTATTTCTAGCAAAATCTTCCAATAAATTTTTGACCCACTTCCCGATGGCCTAGAGACTTCAAACTTCACAGTTTTGCCGATAGGTGGTGCACGAGTTGTTGTTGTTGCTGTAGCTACAACGAGTCGATGCATTTGGTAAACGAGTATTTATGGTCCGATTTCGTTCATATTTAGAAAGCTTGCTTTAAATATATGTTTTTACTATTAACTTATTGAATTTTCTTTTAATTTTTAGGTTTTATTGTTTTAAAAGGAAAAATTGTTTTTTTATTTTAATTAATTTTTAGAGGCCTTTTTTATTTAATTCTTTTTTATTTTTTATTTAATTCTTTATTTTTTATTTTATTTTTTTTTTGTAATTTTGTATCTTTTTACTTTTGTATTTTCTATGGTTTCATCTTTTTTTATTTTTTTATTTTTTTATTTTTTATTTTTTAAAATTTTCTCTTTTTTTCTTTTTTTATTGTTTAATTTTTAAATTTTTTTTTTATTTTATTTTTTTTTCATTTTTTTATTTTATTTTTATTTTTTTATTTTTTTTTTCATTTTTTTATTTTTTTTTTTTATTTTTTTATTTTTTTTTTTATTTATTTATTTTTTTTAATTTTTTTTTTATCACATATTTATTTTTATTTATTTTTTTTTATCACATATATTTATTTTTATTTATTTTTTTTTTATCACATATATTTATTTTTATTTTTTTCTATTTATTTACATATATTTATTTTTATTTTTTTCTATTTATTTACATATATTTATTTTTATTTTTATTTTTTTTTATTTATTTACAAATATGTTTTTTTTTTGTTGTTTTTTTTTACTTTTTTTTTTGTATTTATACTTTTTATTTTTTATATATTTTTATTTTTTATATATTTTTATGTTTTATATATTTTAATTTTTTATATATTTTTATTTTTTATATTTTTATTTTCTATATTTTTATTTTTTATATATTTTTATTTTTTTATTTTTTATTTTTTTATTTTTTATTTTTTTATTTTTTATATTTTTATTTTTTTACATCTGTTTATTTTTTATACTTTTATTTTTTTACATCTGTTTATTTTTTATATTTTTAATTTTTACATTTATTTTTTATATTTTGATTTTTATTTTTTAACGTTTTTTACTTTTAATATTTTTAATTTTTAATTTCTACATTTTTTATTTTTTATATTTTTATTTTTTTATGTTTATTTTTTATAATTTTATTTTTTAATTTTTTTTACTTTTTATATTTTTATATTTTTTATATTTTTTGATTTTTTATATATTTGTAATAATTTTTATTCAATTTTCTTATCATTTTTAGATCTTGTTGATTAAAAGAAATAGTTCCTTTAATTTTTAGGAACTTATAGCATGCAACGATTCTTTAGATCTGGCAGGGGTTTCCACCCAAAGTTTCATCTGGCTTGCTGGCTTCAAACATATTTATGGCTTCCTGAGGATACACCCTATGATAATTTATAAAAGTTAGCATGATTATAGTAGTGTAAATAACCCTCTTTGGTTTATTAGGACGTCACAACGCACTCATCGCGAAAGTTCTGGCCTGATTATACGTATGTTTTTTATTTGTAATTTAATTTTTTTTCTTAATTTTTTTAAGAAAATATATTCTTTAAACTCAATTATTATTTGTATTTTTTTAGAAACTTATTTAATTTATATTTTTTTCATTTGTGTTTTCTTTGAATTTTTAATGTTTTTTTATTTAATTTTCTTAAAATTTTTAGATTTTACTGTTTTAACAAGTAATTTTTAAATAAACAAAAATTTAAATTCTCATATAAAAATTTAAGTTTATCGCCAATTCCCTCATGGTCCAATGATCGGATTTAAACAAAATTAGTATGAAACTACCTAAAAAAAAAAAATATTTTTTAATTCCGTTTAAATTTTAGAAACTTATAGCATAGCAACGGTTTTTTGGGTCTGGCAGGGGGTTTCCACCCAAACTTTCGTTTGGTATCAAACAAAAAACGTTGTCAGATCTTGGACTATTGGCCCCTCTGCAACCATATTCTTGAAGTAAAAATCTATTAAGAAATTCATTGATTCATTGTTTATTCATACACTGGATAGAAAGCTTAACAGAAACCGTAGTATAGAAAGATGAACTAGAAAAGTGTTCCGTGCCCTCTATGCAAACAAGGCTACATAACTGCAATGCAATTAAGTGTGCCTGCCCTGGAAGGAATCTAGATTCGGTCAGTCTAGATACTATACCAAGAGCCTATCGGACGCTTCTTCTTTGATAATAACTTTTCTAGGATTCCCATTGTCAAACTCCAGGATCATAACAATCTTCGCCGAAGATTCCAAACATCAACAGCCGTCTACGCATCGAAAGATAAAGAGGGTGGTCTTGTCCGGTGACCTATGGTAAATCCTTTCCGCGAACTCTTGGCGGTGGAACAAAATGAGCTATGCAAAATCTTGGTTTTCTATGTTCTATCGATCTTCAGTCATGTTTCAATAAGAGCGGTGAATTCACACGCCTCGACAAAGTACATGGGAAGGATTTGCTTTGTTAAAAGTTAAGATTAAGGCTTCGTTTTAAATTTCAGTTTGGAGTTGAGTGTACTTTTTTCAAAATATCCGAATTCTAGCGTAAGGAGCCCCACACTCTCCACAATTACATATGATCCTACATGTAGTATAAACAACAACAAAAATTAGCACTGCACTCACCTTCGTTATCGCTGCGACGCGAACGTGGCATACTGTTGTAATACTGCTGCATTTCTGATTTCTCAGTCGATTCATTCTCTTGCTTCTCGTCTTCGGTGTAGACAGGTGAACAAGGGCCCGACGAAGCGCTGGCGGCTGGCGAAGACGATGTAGCCGAATTAATGCTACCACTTAGGCCATTTGCGCCACCACCCAAACTATCCACCGAACCACGCTTTGCGGCTATGGCCACATACTGGAATGTCGCTGAAGTGGGCGAAGATGGCGTTAGCCTATCCTCACCCTCAATGAGATCAATAGATTTTTTGCGTGGCTTTTCTGGTGGCACAGGTGCAGTTGTCAAGGCAGCGGCTGCGGCTGCGGCTGCGGCTTGTTGTTGCTCATCAAGTGAACGCTGTAGAGCTGCCGTAACAGCAGCCGATTTGGCAGGTGGTGGAGGCGGCTGCGTTGCATCAGCCAGTTTTGTGGGCGAACGTACACGTTCTGGGTTAAACTTAATTGGACTTAGGTTCTTCGGTTTGGCAGCTGGTATGGGTGGCAATGGTGGCGATTTAATGGGGCTACCAATTTTATTGGTACTACGCGGTTTTATCTCAGGCGGTACGACAGTGTGACGTACCGGTGGACTGGGTGGATGATCCTGTGCTTGCTGATGCTGTTGTGCAGCAGCCAAAATGGGTGAACGTAGCTGTTCCATGCTGGTTACCGCAGCATTCGCAGCGGTTGGCTTGTGATTGACGTTTGGTGAGGCGGTGGCAACGGTAACGGCAATATTGGCGTTCTCTTTCTCCCGCTCCCTTTCACGCTCCCTGTCTTTCTCTTTCTCTCTCTCCTTTTCCTTATCCTTCATTTGTATGGCCGAACCGGAAAAGAGCGTTGTGCCTGGCACAGTTCGGATAATGTCACAACGATTTTGGTCGCTATGCGTTCGATTTGATTTTGTTTTCGTAAAATGTGAAGTCCATTTCTTTTGTTTCTCAATTAGTTCGCGTGAATTGAATTTACGTTCCGGTTTCTCCGGCTTGTCGACACTACCACCACCAGCCGATAGTATTGCACTCACACCGCCGACCACTGATGAGCTGCTTAGCACACCGTCTTCGGATTTGTGACGTGCAATATTGTGATGTAGCTTCGTACCCGGTTCTACGATAAACTTACTATTACTCAGCGCTAAACCGCCATTAACTTGCAGTGCACAATTATTATTGTTCGCCAATGAAGCGGCTACATTGCAACCTGGTGGAAAGGGTGAACGACGCTTCGGTGGCGATATCGAACGATCTGAGGAACGCGACGATGAACGATCCGAGCTATTGCCCTCACAAAGATTATCGTCACGCGAGCCGGAACGTGACATTTTCACATTCGAATTCGAATTGTTCTCCACGCCGAGCTTTTCGAAAAGCGCGCGTGCATTATTGAAACGAGCAGAATGAGATTCGGTGCGTACAACTGTAGCCGGTATTCCAACACCAATGGCTTGTTGTTGCTGATTAACTGCTGCGGCGGCGGCGGCGGCGGCAGCGGCAGCAGCAGCTGCAGCGGCGCTTAACTGTTCCACCGGCTGTATTTCGATAGGTTTACGCTGGAAAAGATTCGCAATTTGCGAAACTTTACCAGCTGGCGTCGAATGTATGGATTTCTCCATTTTGGCGTTGAAGAGGTGCGTTCAATAGTGCTTTGAGAGTCGTCTGTAATGAGATTGAAAAAAGTAGAGAAAGATAGAAGTTAGTTTGAATACCAATCAAAGTTTCCGGTTATTTTAAATTTGTGTAATAAAGGTAAAACTTAATCTGAAATACCAACGAAGAGAAAAAAATGGTTCCAATGGTGCAGAAAATATGTGTCACAAGGAAAATAGCACCCAAAGAGAAATCGGCGGAAGCCAATTCAAGAAGTTCCTATGTCATAACTAGTATTTGTTCCGCTTTTGGCTGGAATTCAGTCCGGAGATGATCAGAAGAAAACCTCTCCCGAAAGGCGACGGCTCCTTTTGAGCCATGAAACTAGATAGCGAAGTGTACTAAAGGTCTTGATCTGGTTAAGAGTATAAATGTTTCCTGAATGGTAAACGTTTGTCTTCAATTCAGCATGCCTAGTGCAACGGCAGGTCATCAGAAATAGCTTTATAGAGATCACTCGGTTGGCGACTTTTTTGATATCGATGCAATCGTGAAATCCAAAAATAAACTGAACCTCGGTGTCGACTTTGTTTAATTTATTTCTCGCATGATTTGCAGAGGAACTTGTGCGTAGAACTGTGCAGCCCTTCCATTCAGAGAAAAATGAGTAGAGATAAGCTACAAAGGCGCGTTCTGCCAATTTCACTTCGGGTCGTCAACGAGCTGCTGGAGACTTCGGTGAAAAACGGCTGACGGTTGGTTCCTTATAAGTACGACATAGCACCGATAGTTCTTAGGCAGGAATACCTGAACTCCGGTTAGTTGTTCTTTTCATAAGGAGATAAAAAGGTTTAAGTATCTGGTCTTGACTGGAATATGCTGCCAGTACCGAGGATCTCACCATCAACCTCAATTTAGGGCTCCCGGATCACTGTCATGCTTCTCATGCGAAAGCAGCTGTAATAAATAGAGAGGCGGTCTGATTGCTTAGAAATGCAGGAGGTTAGCATATGTACAAATATCCTGAAAGCGAGGGATCAATCAGGGTCATGGGTACTTTGACTATACGGTCCAGAAGTGTCATATCACCATCATCAGGTTGAAGGCATGACAGATGAGCCAGTAACCCTTGAGGAATTGTAGGCGAGTACGGAAATGATGGATGCTTCACTGGCTACATGTGGTGTGCTTCTGGACGAATGGAAGCCTTGGAATTTAAGATTGCTAGATTCTACTGACCGCAAGTTGACCGTGTGCGGCCTAGGTTGTTCTTAAGACAAAACAAATTACGTATCTCGTAACTGGTTCGAGGCCTGATTTCGCGAGCTTGGGTCTTAAACAGCCGTGGTCTTACTTTTTTCTTACTAACCTAACTAAGGAACTTTCAACAATGGAGATTAGCCGCTGGCGAAGTTTTGTTGTACGCTCCGAGCACTTTTAAAACACTAACCCTTAGGGAATCGCTACACGGTCAGTCATTTTTAACAAAAGCTGGGGTCAGTCAATCGGTTCAATTAACTCACAGTGTAGGGACTCCATTTAAGCTGGAGTCAAGCTCTGGTGGTAATTTATAGTATGTTTGAATGGCTCAAGCGTGTGAGGAGTTCGCTGGGCTGTCTAGGTCGATTTTGATGAAGCAATTTTCCATTAGGTGAGTTGCGTCGGGGAAGCAATAGCGTACATAGATTTTAGATCTTCGAAATCCAAGCTAGAAAACAGGTACTGTGATGTAAAGCCTCTGAGTTGAAGGAATCGCTACTCGCATACTTGCATCCTTCTTCTCAGGACAACCAGTGCCTAGTGAAGAGTGACAAAATCTGCATTCAAAAACATTTTAAAATTAGAGACGATTCCGGACAAATGTTGCAATTCGAAAACTCAACCGAGAATGAGTTTTCTTCAAAAGATTAATGGGTTGGTTGAAGCAGCTTGCTCGCATCACCGTTCAAGCACGCCAAAAGTTTTTTTACTTAAGTTTTGAGAACTATAAAGTAGCAAACCTCTGAGCCTTAACATTTTTGTACAGCAAGAAGCCGAATTTTGTGGCCCAAAAATCTTACCACATTCCTTTCTACTGCCCAATATTTGAGTCTTTATGGACGTAGGATAAATTTTTTATTTTATCAACTATTCTGCGCACCACAAGAAGGGTTGGAAATTATCTTTTACTTGAATCCACAACAAGTGCTCGAAACAGGCGCAGCCGCAAAAGGGGCCCCTAGACAAAGTTGGTTAAAATTACGAGAACAGGCCAGCTACGGGCACGCAGCGGTATTGAGGGTAATTAATAGTGAACGGCGTAACGGAATCAAGGCCGACTTAGATATCGAAATTGATACTCTCACACCATCCTGAGATTTTAGCCTTAAGATTCCTATTACATTTTCCAACTAGGCAAGATCGGAAAGGCGGCCTACTGTCGATAAATTATGGTATTTCCATTTACACCAATGGTATACGGATGGAAAAAGAAGTTTTCTCGGTTCTGTATACTCCAAGGACCTGCAGATAAGGCAATCATATCGACAGTCTGAGCGCAGTGTCTACAGTGAATTTCAGGCGGAGATCTTGAGCACAGGGAACTTTGTCTATTTATACAGAATAGTAAGTCTCTATCGGGGAACGTCACTATATTCATTGCCAGCCAGGGGGCGCATTGAAAACGTTAGGTTCTAAAGTAGTAAAGTCGAAAGTAGTACGGAAATTTCGTGCATTGCTGGCTACACTGAGCCCCGTCAAAACGTCTCTCTGCTGGGTTCCTGGACATAGAAATATCGGAGGGAACGAAATAGCCGATAATCTGGCTAGACACGGCGCGTAAATGCAAATTAGTGAAGCAGATAACTCCCTACTACCACCGATTTCCGATCTACTAAGGATGGTTGAAGAATACACCACAGCCGTAACTAAAGACCTATGCATCAATCGTGACGACTGTGAGATCTCAAGATGCTTATGGCCGAGACTCAATAGGAGTCGTACAGAAGAATTATCGACGCTTAATAAATATGCTGTAAAGGCTCCATCGATGGCGTATAGATACCAACAAGCCTCCTCTGCAGAAGCTGACGGTAGAAAGAAGAAGAAGAATCGATTCATCACTTCCTATGTCGACTCCCAGCACTCCAGACGAGGCGTCTTAAGCATTTGGAATCACGCTTTGTGAATAGTTTGGGGGAGATAATGAAAGTGAGAATATCGTAGCTCCACAACTGGTTTAGCAGACACTATACTGACAATATGGGGTAACCTCGGTTAGAAGGATGTGCCTTCTCCTGGCACTCATACATTGTCATTCACAATGAGCAAGTTTGCCTCCGAGTGGAAATACGAGTAATTCATAGACACCTAGCCTTCCTAACCTAACCGAACCTAACCTATAAACCAGTTTAGCCAAAAAAAAAAACACACTTTATTGAGAAAATAGTAAAAGTTACGTTTTCTAAAGATTTAAAAAAAAATTACCATTTTGCTTGCGTACACTTTCATTTTTCTAAAAACACACCAGCACAATAATTTGTCCAATTATGCGAAAAATAATAACAAAAGAAGGCACTAAATATTTGCAATGAAAACTTTTTCCGGTTCAATGACAGCACTTTTACTGTCGACACCCGAAAATCACTCCACTTTCGACTTGAATAAACACATACAGATCACGTTTCATGTAGTATCTATATGTATGTATGTAAATATTTTTGGCTTTTATTTCTTGTATAGCGAATTCCGTATTTAAAAAAAAAAGCAACTTCCGCTATTCTTTGACCACAGTCGGAATAAAGAGCAGAAAAAAAACTAATTGAAACTTCCACTTGAAATTGCGCCTTCGTACACCTTGCTGCGTAAAAGCGATTTTTTTACCGTTTCTGGTAATATTTTTTTTTTTTTTTTTGGTGAAGGTGTTGATTTTTAACAAATTTTCAAAACATTTCACATCACGAGTACTACGTTGGCACAACTCTTCTACCAATTGAACTGAGTACTACACCGGCGTCGTGTGACTGAATGACTAAAGGCGGTGGTCGATAACAAAGAAGGCACAAGCAGAGCGTGCATTGTTGAAAAGTGTTTTTTTTTTGCAAATTTTGTTTTATTTTTATTAATGGAGTTTTGCTTTTTTAATTGCACTACAGGGTGTGCGTGTGTGTGTGTGGGCATGTCATTATTGTTATCAACGGCCAATACATGAAAATTGATTTCATAATGAATGTTTTGAGTCTGCCATGAGCAGTTGGGACGAGGAAAGATGAGATGAGTAAGGGAAGTTCGGAGAAAAATACCGTACAGTGCTTGCGAATACCAAACAAAAAAAAAACAAAGCGTAGATAAAAAAGAGAATGAGACCTGAGACTACATTGTAGAATGGCAATAAATTATATAAAAAGCACTGCAACAACAAGAAAAAACTTCTGCGCAAAATATATGAGCATAGCCACTTCACTGATTACGTGGAGCGAATACAAAATAAAAAGCTGTAAAACATATCGATCAATTATGAAAGAAAAAGTAAAAAAGAAAAATACTTAATTCAAAGAAATCAGTTATCAATATGTTTGTAGTATATGTGCTGCACACATTTATATTAATTTTCTCTTGTCTGCTGCCGAGGAAATCGCAAACAACAATTGAGTGTGAATTGGTGAGCACTGCGAAATGCGGCAGAAAGAACTTAACAGTCGTTGACGTCGACTGAGGCGACGACTTCGTCCAAAACGCACCCGCGATTTGTATGTAAATAAAAACAATAACTTCTTGATAAAGTGATTGCCATATAAAACCTACACGCGCACCCACACCGCACACCCACGCTGCAATGTGTGAATTCAATATTACAAAGCAGACAAAGTAAAGTGAAACTAAAATAAAAAAGAAAAATATGTCCAAGAATACAAAAGTAAATGAAGCGACAAAATGAAAGTGTATGTAAGAGATTGAAAGAAATAAAAACAATATGTGATGGCAAGTGAAGAAATTTTAGTTTAAACTTTATGCACCCACGCACACGTGCGTACCGGTTACAATAGCTCGTTTACTCGTCTGGGAAAGTAGTTTATGTGATTTACAAATTCATATAATTAGATAGTTTTTAGAAAAACCCCCCCGGAAGGTCAATAATATCCATAAGATATATTCTCATAAAAATGCAAGCACTCCCAAATAATAAGGTAAATCCACAGAGACTCCGCCGGGTATACATTTTATAATATTGTCAAAAGAAAAAAATTAAATAAACCACATCAATTTTCAAAAACTTACGAAAAATTTCTGAAAAATATTTAATATCTCTTTAAAGCTTTCAAAAATTTGGGTACCAAAAAATTTCTAGAAGTTATATAAAAATTCCCAAAGACGTTTGACATTTTCCGGGAATATCTCAGGGCTTCCAAAACTTTTTTAAGTTTCCAACAGTTTTGTAAAATTTTACGAAAGTTTTTGAAAACTTCGCAAAGGTATTGAAGAGTTCCGAAAGTTTTGGACAAGTTGCATAAGTTTTTGAAAAGTTCCAAAAATGTTTTGAAAATTCGGTAGGTTTTTTAAAGGTTCCGAAAGTTTTTTAAATGTTCCGAAAGTTTTTTATAGTTTGCGAAATTTTAATGGAAGCCTACGACTGTTTTTTGGGAGTTTCCGAAAATTTTTCGAAAGCTTCCGAAAATTTTTTCAGTTAATGAAAGTTTTCTGGACGTTTGCGAATGTTTGTTGGATATCTCCGAAAGTATTTTTAAACGTTTCTAGATTTTTTTTTAAGTTTCCGAAAAACTCCCAAAGCTTCCACATATTTTCTGAAAGCTTCGAAAAATTTTGAGTTTCGGAATACATTAAAAGTACGGAATATATTAAAAGTTTCTGAATATATTAAAAGTTTTGGAATATATTAAATGTTTTGGAATATATTAAAAGTTTCGGAATATATTAAAAGTTTCGGAATATTTTAAAAGTTGTGGAATATATTAAAAGTTTCGGAATATATTAAAAGTTTCCGAATATATTAAAAGTTTCGGAATATATTAAAAGTTTCGGAATGTATTAAAAGTTTCGGAATATATTAAAAGTTTCGGAATATATTAAAAGTTTCGGAATATTTTAAAAGTTTCGGAATATTTTAAAAGTTTCAGAATATTTTAAAGGTTTCGGAATATTTTACGAGTTTCGGAATATTTTACGAATTTCGGAATATTTTAAAAATTTCGGAACGTATTAAAAGTTTCGGAATATTTTAAAAGTTTCGGAATATTTTAAAAGTTGCGGAATAGTTTGAAAGTTTCCGAAAAAATTTCTGTACAGAACTTATTTTTCGAAAAAAACACGAAACATCTTGAGAAATCCCAATTATATTCTTCTTTCCGAACTATCTATGAACTAAGTCAAAATTTAAACCATTTTTAGCTCAGACACTTTTTTTATTTTTGTCCTGGCTTAAAAAATAAAAAAGGAAGAAATTATCGATTTTAATTTGCAAAATATTGAGTCAAAATTTTGTGTACCATGAAAAAATCATGTTTTCGAACATAGGAAAGTTCCCGAAAAAATCTATAAAATTTCTAGAAAAAAATTCCTAAAGTTTCCGCAAAGACCCCAAAAAGATATCTCCGGAAAATACGAAAAAAAATTGTAAGTTTCCGAAAACTCCGTAAAAACTACCTAGCTTCCAAACACAAGTTTGAGATTAAAAAAAAATCCAAAAGCTTGCGGAAATCCCTTTAATTTTACGAAAAAGTATTAAAAGCTTTCCGATTTTCCGAAAACTCCCTTAGAAAACTCATTAGATTTGTACCGTTGTTTCGAAATTTCAAATATGAGAGGTCGAAGTAAAAACCTTGGCCTTTAGGTGTGCGATAAGATTTTAATTTTTGAAGTCAGAACTTTTTTATCGGTACATGGTTATTTGGAGTTTGATGATATTAAAAACCGACCTATCTCCACTCGGAAACGGCTGCACGGATTTAGATGAAATATGGCACTCGGATCGCTTATAACTCTGACTAACATTTTCAATAGTTTATTGGGTTTTGAATTAAATTTTAGGGCGTTTTAACGCCATGCGGGTTAACTAGTTTTACTCATTACTCCGTTAATACATTGGTATGTATTTTTCGCACAGATAAAGTCCCACTTCCAACGAACTCTAAGGACCCTAAAGACTTTTTATTTTAATAATTTATTTTTTTCCCCTCCGGATTAGTGAGCGCAGGGGTTAAAACCAACAAAAGATTTTTTTACAAACTTTTAAAACAGCTAATGTATGAAGGTTGTTAGCTTTTTTGTTTACATTCAAATCATTCCATGAAAAACTGCCGTTACACACATATTAATAAATTTTTTAACATTCAGATAAGCATTTCTAATAAGCACACAGATAAATTTACGTCATTGCTGATAAAATTGAGAACGATAACGAAGTCATTAAAAACGCCTAAAAAATTAAGGAAGGTATTAAGTTTGTAAAAAAAAAAAATATGTTTTATAGTTAAATGTTTTATAGTTAAATGTTTTATAGTTAAATGTTTTATAGTTAAATGTTTCATGCATACCACTATTTTCCTAACGACAGCGCTTTAGAATTGAAAATCTGGCAAATTTCCATACATAATTGTTCATAAAAGCCAACTTTAGCACATAAATATATATGTAGAAGTATTTCTTCGACGTAGGAATTTTCAATTTATTTCCGCTGGAAAATCCTGCGTTCCAACGAAAACACATCTGCCGGGTGGTAATGGAAATTTTTAAAATATTTGCTGTAACACAACACTGAAATTTATTTCAACAATGAAAAACCGAGTCGCAAAACGCCAGCGCAAATACTTGCTGGAATACCAACAAGAAATATAAAGCGCAGAATTTGTCTCAAATAAATATGAATGTAAGTACTTATGTACGCTTTTGTACGAGCATGTGGCAGATCAAATTTATTTAGTTAAATACTGTAACCGTAACCGTGCATTCCCGAGGAGAGACTGATTTGAAATATGCACATATATATCTTCGCGCTGCTTGTCATACGCAATGGGTGAATAAAGTGAGCACACACACAGTGTTTCGAGTATGTAAATAATCACTTTTGTTTCTTTTTTTATTTTAATTTGTATAACCGAGAGTTGAAAAGGAATAGCGCAGCGCAATTGTTAAGATAAAACGATTCCCTAGGTTTGTGATTAATTCGTTATTATCTTATCTGTGCGGCGGCTATGTTTCATTGGCGTTATGAAAAAGCTGTGATTAACAGCAGTGCCAGGCGCCGAAAACTTTCGACTAGCCGCATAATGCCTGGATGGGTGAGAATGTATTATAACACCGTGCTACAAAATCAAAAAAAACACACACACACAAAAAAATATACTCACGAAACTAGCGGCCGGCTATAGTAAACCAGCGTTGCTTTCTGTAGACACTTTTGTGTTTTGTAATATACAGTCAGTGTCAAATGTTAGTATACACCTTGTTCCAATATGTATAATATTTACAATTATTTTCATGAGCATTTTTTTCAGTAATTTTTTATGAAAATATAGTTCACTCTATAACATAAATCATATACAGTACTGGCCAATACAATAGCACCCCCATTGAAAGTGATATTTTGCAACTCTTGTTTATTTAATTAT